TGCTGAACCCGTCAATGTAAAGTGCTAGCATGGACCTCGGTTTCCGGTCCTGTTGTAAAAACCATCTTCTATTGTTCGTAACGCACACTCTGCAGTCATGACTAGTGCGTGTTGCGACATATGTCGCTTCATTCATGTAGGCATAGCCAGCCTACAACACGACAGGTTCATTGATAATCCTTGGTTATGACATGGCTTTCGTTAAATACACTATAAAGTCATCCTGTTAAGATGGCCTTTAGGAAAACACAGTTTCTGATCAATAGTGAAAAAACTCACTGGAAGAACTATTTCATTATAGTCAATGGCCTTGACACTTTTTACTGCATTTCTTTACGATACTCAACCCCAGATCGATAGGGTGTATTTTAGTGTAAAAACCTCTCGTAAGAGCGTAGAGGACAATTAACCACTGATGGCATAGAACAAAACTTGGAGTGACGGAGCTTCTATGAATAATACTCTATAACCCTTATTCAAACTTCACAAAATTATTTAGTCTTGTTTATTTTTGGATAAGTTTCACAACAAATAATCTATTATGAAAAATTAGTGTTTTACTTAACAACACGGATAACGGGCCAATGAGGTTCAAGGATTGAGAGAGAAGAAGTAAAACTGTAATGATTAGAACTTCAACTAATCAGCTGTTCAGGCAAATTTAATTGTTGATAGTTGAGTGGTGCAATTAGTGTTTGGTACAATGTTTCGTTGCATCAATGTTAGTGACGGGATAACCAAGTCGTTTCCATGATGCTTTCCATGACGCAAAAAATAACAGATTGATTATGGAAATCCAATCATTTCCATAATCAATCTGTTATTTTTTGCGTCAATCGGTTATTTTTAGTTGAATGAATCACCGAATCAATTTTAGTCATTCTTCGCTGTCCCAAAACCACAACTAATTTTTATCTTATGAGAAACTGAATAGCATTTAGTCATTTAGCGTCAATCGGTGATTTTTAGTCGAACGAATTGCCGAATAAAATTTAGTTACCTCATGATATGACAAACTAAATCAACTAAATAACTAAATCACCGAATCGCTATGTGAGACTAATTTAACCGAATCAGGATAAAATAACCGAATTAGTCTGTTCAGCATCAATAACCGATTGATTCGTTTATTTTCATTTGGTGATTCCCACCACTAATCAATAATGTCAGAGGCAATGAGAGGTTACCAACGAAAACATAACCTCTCTTATAAGTTATTTTTAGTGAGTAAAACACTGTTGTAGGTAAAGTAGTGTACGCAACTCGCATAAATAGTGTTAATTAACGACATGAGTAGAAGGTAACTAATTAAATTTTCTTAATTATATCTTCTACTCGTGTGGTTAACAATATCTTTATGCAATCGTAGCGTAAACTACTATGATGTGATTATAGTGGAAATAATAATACTTATAATAAACGTTACGTCTAAGAATAAAACATAATTTTTAACTTATTTTCTCATAAAACGTTTAAACACGTGTGACTCAATAAATAGTTTTGAATTCAGAAATTGTTTCCATCGCTATTATTCACATATGATTACTGTGTCATCCATCAAAACCCACATACTTCTTTTTTTAACTTTCATTATGTGATAATGAACAATATATGCTAGAGTAACCCTTCTAGCATATCTTGTTCATCGTCGCTTGTATCGTCTGCATAAAATATATATTATCACGTCTTATTACGTGAAGCAGGTTATTGTTAACACAACTCCTCCCTTATTTGTGGACCAATTTCGACGTTTAAGGTGTCAAAACCTTCGGATCAATATGCAATTTTGCAATAAGGTTTCAGAATTAAAAAAAATCTTACCCTTAAGACTGCGAGACCCTCTCAAAGGTCGGGGTTTCCCCATAAGAAATACATAGAACAAATAAAAAAACACAGCTGTTTATAAAAAGAAACTTATTAGCTTTTTGGCAGTAAATATTAATGTTTGTAAGACCAAGTTAAAAAGTTAATCGGTTTTGATGGAAGAACAGAAAATTCCCCGAGTTCAAAGAAGAAATATTGAAAACGGGAGGAGGAGACAACTAATGATAAAATATTTTATGAGTATGAGGAGAGTAGAAAAAGAGAGGCCTGGTCAAACAGATGCATCCAGATACACCTTCACTTTGTGAGGAATAATATTTGCCAGTTCTGCTATGCAACTTACTTTGGAAGTGAACAAATATACGAAGCACATAGTGTTGTCACGGTAGCATATCTTGTTCATCGTCGCTTGTATCGTCTACATAAAATAATCAACTAATAGATGAATGCTTAGTTTGAAAATACTAATAATTAAAAGATGAGCAGTACGTGCCAAAGATACTATAGGCCTAGTAGAAAAACAGTTGCACAAAAACTTTTCAAATAAAATATGTAAACCTTGTATAATTTCAAAATAAAAGATAAACTTGAATTACGCACTCAAAATTGCTCGGGGTTCCTTAAAAATTACGTATATTTGTAATTTTAAATTTAGTGAAAAATTACGCGGAAATATGGACACCCAAGGAGCTTCACATTAAAAAAATATTTACATTATGAAAATCCCAACTTTTTTCTGTGATTTGCAAGACCATAGATCGGATTCTATAAATCAAATTAACTGCTAAATAAGTATTGGAATTAGTAATTATTCCTTTTAGCCTAGTTTTTGTGGGTTTATATTATTAGTACGATCTAATTTGATATGGTTTTGGAGACATGAGTGGTTGGAATGATGGGTTGCTCTATAGTTCTATACTTATTTCGGATCATTAACATTTTAGCGGCATCTTAAAATTCAGTATGTAATTTTAACTTAATTGTTCATAGGTAGTAACCTTTAATGATTATTGATTGATATATATTAATGTTTAATTAATATTAAATTAAATACCATAAATAATAGTATTAATTATATTATTTTTAAATTTTCATTATTCATTGTGCAGTACTAGCATAGATAAATAGTGTTATTTACTAACATATTTGAAGAATTGTTACAGTATATACTATTTTTTTGCGAGGAGGCTGTATCACTGCAATTTTAATAGAAACCAGTATAACATACGACTTTATTTTATTTCAGCTTAAACAATTCTATTCAGAATACCTATGCTTTTACAGTATACACCAAACTAAACAGTAGCTCGTGCATGTTGGAAGCTATTATAATTCAATTATTAACTTGTAAAATGCGACGTAGTTTTTATATTTTGATACTCAATTACATTTAACTTTCACACATGTAGATGTCAATTAACATCATAAAACAATTGGACCATTGAGTATAATAAGCTTAATTTTCCTTGGAGGTTGGAGTTTTTGATTATTAAAGCCAAAGAAACCACAACTTTGTTACTCAAATGTCAAAACGCATTCCAATTTTTAAAAATAACTACAAAATGCTGCATTAAATTTTAAATCAATTTGTTTATAGCCCGGACTTCATCAAACATTTACAAATAGTCTCTAATAATAAGATTAAAGTGAACAGATAATAACAATTTCAACAGATTTAGACTATTCAGTGTATTTTTGCATATTTATGGTCTTTTAAAATTTCGCATGATTTCATAACCTACCTTAAACTTTGTATCAAACATATAAAATTATCTTTGGATTTACCGTTTACTTCCTCTAATCCCAAAACTATTTTTAACTTCATGCAAAAGTAAGATATTCATTTTGCCATTTATCGTTTTGTTTGTGTATTATGATAATTTAATTGGGCTGAAAAAAAACTTTCAATAATGATACCACGATCTTCACAGGTTTTCTTGGCTCAAAAGATTTTTAGAGAATCTGGTTTACTTTAGACACTAGTGAACGTGAACGTTCTTGCTGTAACATTTGTAAAGGTCTGTTATTGTTTTTGTATGTGTCGCGAAGGCGTAAAACGAACCGCCATGATCTCCAAAACGTGTAGTTGAGTACATAGAATATGAACATTGTATATATTCTTTAGTAGGGATTCGATTTTTTGCAAATATTCCAAGCAAAGCCACGAAAGAAATATTTAACAAATTCAGCGAAATGTCATTAGTAATCGAAGAAATCGAAACTTCGCTATTCCAAGTGTTATTTAACGCAATTTATCTGTAGCTTAAAACTCCATACCAGAGGCTGTAGGTTTACAAAAGGTTTGCAAAACTCCGTCAGTTTCACGTTAAAAGACTTATGAAATAAAATATAATTATTTTACTGTAAAAAAGTGAAATTTAAAATTAATAGAACAAAATTATCGGAAATAAAAAAAATAAAGCAAAGATTGAAAACAATCATGAAGTGTGATTGCGTGTGTAGGTGCTAAAAGTGGTTGGTTTTAATAAAAATAAACCCTTAAATAAAAAAAATAATGTTACTAATCGAAGAACGGGTAAAAATAATGAATATGAATACAAAATGTTCGATAAAATTATTCCGTGAATACCCCTATTTCATGACAATACTTTGTATTTATCTTCTCAACTGAAACTTCTTGGCACAAACTCTACGGTTTCTATAATTCAAAACTATATTCTGCAAATGGCGTTTCTTCTACTTAGAAATTACAAAATCAAAGGAGTAGATGAAACACAAGAAGATGAAAAGAGCCGAAGTGAATGAGTAAGTGGGAAGTGATGGACTGAAGGAGTTAATTTGCAACTCTAACGTGATTGATGCAGCACATTTTCTGTGTTACTGTGTCTCTGTGGCTGGAGACACTGTATATCTATCTGATACTGACTGTTTAGCAGGGTAAACAATAAACTTAACTAGGAGGAATTGTGTGAAAACAAAAACAAACAAAACTTTGGTTGAATATTTCAAAACGGCCCATCAATAAGATTGACAATGTCAATGAATTCGATCATTCGCGAACCGTCCAGATGACGCAACGAGTTCCTCCCCCACTTATAATCTATCGTAAACCACGGTAACATAAACATGCAGGAGATGAAGATATGGTACTCACCGGTGGTGGGCGATGTTGACGATGTTGAGATGAGGTGTGCTGGTGTGCCTGAGTGGCGGGGGTAGCAGTGTGTAGGAGGGGAGGGGAGGGGTAGCTACTATCAGGGATGTACACGACGTACGCGCGCCTATAGAAGCACTCCAACTCTAGCCTCCGAGCGCATCAGTTGAGTCAGAGTCAGACATGTGGTCAGTCACACTGCTCCTCGCGGCGTGCTCGCTCATCACTTTACTAGTTTTGTTGTTGACCAAGGGACGCAGGAAGGGCGAATACCCTCTCCGAACCCCGGGTCCCTCCCCTTGGCCGGTCCTCGGGGACCTCCACATCCTCGGCAAGTACTCCAACCCCTTCGTCGCGTTCACAGAACTCTCCAAGATGTACGGAGACGTCTACAGACTCACCCTCGGGTCCACACCATGCGTGGTCGTCAACAACTTCCCCCTCATCAAGGAGGTCCTCATCACCAAGGGGTCACACTTCGGCGGACGTCCGGACTTCATCCGTTACCACAAGCTGTTCGGCGGCGACAGGAACAACTGTAAGTACAGAATTAACTAACTAACTAATCAACTATTCTGACAATGTAGACATTTCTTGAGTAACAATCGCCATGTATTATAATATTAGCTAAATTAGAAAACAAATCATATAAAACACACATATATCTCCAAAATGAAAATTGATAAGTACTGTACCAAAATAATGTGATAAAAACTCCTGAAAACCGCAAAACGTAAACCTAATATTTATCTGTGTTACTACTTAAATATAATTTTGTCAGACGATTTGTAAATTAATTCAACGTAAATATGAAAATCCTCTGCTAAAACTTTGACTTACATAATTAAATGTTAGTATAAAAATGTATGTACACCACAAAAAATAATAGTGGACGTTTTTCTCTTCACTTGACTGTCTCTGTCTGTCTAGGATACCGGTACAAAATTCAGCATAAATAGACGTAAAGCAGTTATTTAATGAATACCAAAATGATATTTTATTCATGCATGAATGTACAATGACAGTAATACTATATTTTAGTTAAGTTCTAACTATGTTTCATCCAAAATTGCAAAGATGTTGCATTATTTACCACTAGAAGTACATAATTTTCATTTACATTTTAATTTATTTACGGATTCGCCACTTTAACATAAATCATAAAGAAAATACTTGTTTGTCGAATTGAAAAAGTACAAAAAATATAAATTATTATGATCCATGATCTATCATCAGTTAGATCATAAACGTAATTCAATTGTTTAAAACTTGAACATGTTGAAATTTGTTGGTGTTGACCTACATGTTATGTGAGGAAGATTTATTTCAAAAATATTCAGTTGCTAATGTTTTCTCAGAGTCGAAATGGTTTGTTTATTTTCATACGGGTTTTATTGATTATTTTCCTTGGCAAGTTTGAGTCCAGTTAGTCAGTGAGACTACGTACTGGTTGTAGTTAGTTATTTCTCCGAGTCAACATCCCGCACACGGTTGATGGTGGCTTGAGCACATATTGATAACATATCTCACTTTTACGTAAAGTAATAGACACTGTTCACGTCCTGTAACTAAAACAAACCTTCCGATTTGCATCTGACCTTCGCCGATTGACCCTCGCGTGACTGTTTATGTTGAGTTTAGCACGAGTGTCAGCTTCTGAACAATAACGATACAGATAATCCTTAGTTTTATCCAACACGAATTTAAGCCTGAATCCTTAAAAAATGTTTTCAGCATGGGCTTGTAGAAAAGGGTAATTGGTAATGTAAAACAGATTGAATATTTTTATCCACGAACTGTTTACAATATTATTTTAAGTTGTTCAGAATATTTTGTTAACGAATGCAAACAGTGAGAGGCCACTGCCGCATTTCTAGTATTGTTTGTTTGTTATATGCGAAGGCCATCTGGATATTTAAAAAAATGTTTTGGTGAAAGGTCTTGCTATTCCATAAAAAATCCAAATACAGACCGGTATATGAAACATCGTTGTCTAAACTATTTGAAATACGTGTCATACTCGACAGTTCATAGAGACATTTATTTTTGTAATGGTAAGGAATAGATTTATTGGGTACACGTTGGAGAAATTATTCAGGCCTAACTTACACCACATAAATGTAGATTTATTTACAGTAGTTTGATTGTATCACTTGCTCTTGCTCGTGCCAACGTCTTTGGCTAGATTGGAGTAACACTTGGCACTGTTTCTTTATAAATATTATCTTATTTAGTAAAAATTTAGTAGATGCAAAACAAATATCATTAAATATTATTGTCTTTATATTACATGAAATTACTCGCAAAACAAAGCTACGTTGTACTCAGTGTAGGTATAAATTATTTTTGGACGAGATTATCCTAATTCATTTAGTATTCTGCTGAAAGTAAAAAGAACTTTTTATTGAGTTTTAATTAAATTAATTAGAATTTTTCACCTGAGTCACAAGAAGTGTAAAAGGAACCAAAGTTCATTATTCCAATAATACCCTAATTAAACGCTGTTAGCTACGCTTCAGTTGTGTTAAGAAGCCATGAAACTGAACAATTACCGTAGGAACTAAAAAAAACTGTTGTGTAGTACGTGCTATTAGTGACTTTTTATAAAACCCAATTTCGCATTTTGATCCATAACGTATGATACAGTATGTGTATTGTTCATATTTGTTTTCCTACACATATGAATCAGCATTAGTGTACTAATTAAGCTGAATTATTACTAAAAGTCTTTAACATCCTAAGTGAGTATAGTTTATGTAAAAATGCTATTAAACACAATAAAATTCTCAGCAAATACAAGTTCATGTTATGGAACTTCATGCATCGTTTTAGAATCTCTAGCTTCCAAGACCTTTGAACAGTAATGTTGTGAATGCAACCTGGAGTTTGAATTCAGGGATTTTGTGGGAATTTGTAGGTTAAATAGAGTTTTAATATATGTTGAACGTAATTTTAATTGCCACATGTAAGAAACAAAAATACGCTTTTCTATTTTGTTTAACGGTAATTACAAAATTAAATATTTTGTAATTGTTTACAGATACTCATATACAATTCAAGAATTATAGTTATTACGGATACCCGGGGTACCTCGTATTCTGTTACGTAAGCATAGTTTTTACTGATTGTTGATCTTTCGTCGATTTGTTTAGGTTGATGTCACCATCTACTCTCCATATTTAGAAATACCTGAGAAGGTTTCCTGCAAACTAAACACAACATCCATACAGATTACCAAATGAAAACATTTTTAAATGTTCTCCCCTTTGGACCCGACCGTAGACTCAGAAATCGGATGTTTGATCAAAATTTGCTTATCGACCATGTTTATACATACTAGAGATGTTAAAGTATTGCTGTATTTTAGCTATCGTCGACTGCCTACAAGGATACAAAAAGTAGTGTATTTAAATCCATACCTTCCTTACACTAGATATTCTTTGCTACAATTTTATTGACTTGCTCTATGTAATAGTTATCAGCCAGACATTAACGCAAGCAAAATTAATATCATGTTAAACAAACAAAATTTGGCATTGAGAACTATACAGTCTCCAGAAAATAAGAATTGAATAGGTTACGTATAGTTGTTACGTGTAGTTTTAAAAAATCCCCTCTTTCCACATAAAGGCTTAATGGCTCTCCCTGGTTTGTTGAGGCACTCAACAGTTGTACACTTTTTCCCAGGCAGGTGCCTCCTAGGATCGGTTTTGTTTTGCGTAAATACTGAGTGTGCGAATTTCGTTAGTTACTTTTACATTTAGAATTGTAAATACTGATTTTGTTACTTATGTGTACAGATTATGTGTAATAAAGGGTCGAGTAAATTTGCCTGTTGCAATACTGTATAAGAAAATGTGGCTATAGATTTGGCTGCCCCACCAAAATTGCAGTTTTTACTTCTCCCGTGCGTATTTAGTCGGGAGGTGAGGCCTGAAGTGCGTTTCCCAGCCATAGAGGTTTCTGAGAACACGTTACTGTACCGAGCCCCGGACCTATACATGTACAGTACTCATACTCGAGTGTCAAGTGTCCGCTGACCACCGTGGAGACAAGTGACGTTCGCAGAACCACTGTATCGTGACGTCATCGGTCACCCGCACACTGCATATTCCAATAATCTAACACTCCATAGATACATACTGTACTGTAGGTACTGTGTATCGTGTCATCGTATAGGAACGTGCTGCCCTTGCCTCTTGCTCAATCTCGGTCATAATCGCACTACATAACACATTACCAATCATGACCACATAATACATCATCGCATAATACATATAATCCAATCTCACCACACATCATCACATAGTACCACATCATTTCATAGATCAATGCCTAGTCTATTATTATTATCAATTCTTTGAGACACCGACACACTTGGATGCGTATCTTAACTTTGACATGCAATCAATGTTAAACGTCAATCAATGGAAATCAATATGGAGTAAGATTATCTGATGTGCCGCACATCCATTAACTACACAACTACTAGTGTACAAGTCAATGATTGATCATGAATGGTGATATATGTGTGTGTCCACTAGAAGTGGATACATAGGCAATGTTACATATATAATCTGCGTGTATATATAATGCAACAATACATAATCTGTTTGTCTCACTATACATAATCACTTCACATACCTCATTATTAAGCATTAATTTAAGTCATAAAGCACCATAGTTTACCAATCAAAACATAACACTAGTAATACTTAGTTTATATGTTTTGTAAAAAATACGATTAACCTGTATTAGTGTGTAATTTAATTGCTGTCTATGCCATCGGTGTATGTAAGGCTGCTAAAAAAATGAGTTCAGTTATGAAATAGTTTTATTTCAAATCAATTCAAATTGTAACTCGGAGAAAGACACTCCAATATTTCTCTGCTTCAATGTGTCACGATCAGTGAACAATTGTTACCGGAAGCATTTATCATTGTACCATTAGCATTATGTATGCCAGCCATATGTTGTTGGGAGGCTGTAAGACGTTGCTCGACTCTCCACTCTTACTGCGTAGTCTCGCCCGGCGAGTCGCCGCGAAGTAGTCCTGGGATGTAACATTAATTTGATGCTGTAACGGTCCATGATGCAAACAGTCTCGACCTTCCTTCGGTCAAGGTCACACTCCTGTTACTTTCTTCCTTCCATTTCTCACTTCTCCTTCTACGCTCTCCACCGTTATCCGTCTGGGGCCCGTGTACGGAATGTTGTTTTGCTCCACATCCATTCATTTCAACAGTCGTGCGTTTGGAGAATCTCAGTCGGGTTAAATTAATCTTTTAGTTTTTAAAGTGTTGATTTTAAGTTAAATAAGGTTTAGATGCAGTAAAATGTTAAAGTTCTCGACGAGAATGCAAAATCACACTTGCTTAAAGATAGGCCGGGCAATATGTTTTAGATCCTTCCATTGTGCTCGTACTCTCACCACAAATGTTGAATAGAGAATCGTTGATATTCTCCCCATTTAAATTCTCAATTATGCTTCAGCAAATCCCTAGTAATGAAGTCATACGTCCCGTGTCGTCTACTCTGTTATTTTTTACTAATTATCTAATCAAACTAGTTTGCATCAAGATAATCTTCTGCGATCATTACACGCCACGGTTCTGTTTTACCAAAGTTCAAATTGCGTTGATCAAAAATTCAGTGTAACAAATTTTACTCGTTTAAATGTTCTACTCTATAGTTGTCCTCATGAAATAGTCAGCATGCTTTGCAAATGCAATTTATGTCTTGATTGAAGTTATCCATAATGCATTTGACAATATTAAACACGTAGTACGGTATAATAATAAACACTGTCAAAATATTGTATTTATTGTCCAGTGATTCTATCTTTTGTGGGTTTGCGTACAAGTCGGGGTATATTTTTTACTAATTGCCTACAACGATGAAACCTTTTCAAAAATTGTTTTGTGTAAAAGACATTTTTGCTATTCAATTTTTTTTTTTTTTTTTTTTTTAAGTGGGAATTAGTCGATATAAGTGGGTGTATTTTTCTTCTGAAGACTGGTTTCCCCTTCTCAAGTACTAAAATGGAGGGTAGCCAGCTACTGGAAGGGATTGTCTACATCAAATTATGTGTTATTAAGTTGTTTTGTTGCGTCAAGACCATCCCTTCCGCTTCTGGACCTTTAACAAATTAAACCCTATATGGGCATTGAACAAGTGACCATATGTCATGTTTTTGTCTAGATTAAAGGTTTTTTATTAAATATATTTGATATAATTCAATTCTACTCAAATGAAAAAAAAATAAAAAAACAAGGTTTTCAGGAGCTCAATACAAACGGAAACAATCACTAAGATTAGTGACTACTGTAGTTGTGATACACGCGATAGGTGTTCAAAGTATCAAACATCGTTGAATAAAGCAGACGTCTACCTAGATTTTCAGCGATACAATAAATGTTGTTAGGACTGCAATCTCCATAGCAGTCCCTGATGGAACAGACGTGTTAGATTTACTACAGCTTCATAAATTATTTAAAAGGGTCTTTCGCTCTAGTAACAGACGGTAGTAGCCTAACATGGTCGAGAGGTCCAAGGGCGGATCAACCCTTCCTAGGGGTGGAACAGTCTTGTTGGCATACAAACCCACAGCCTTCGATTTCGTTATTAAAAAACAAAATGGGACTGGTTTAGGTCGGACCGGTGAGGCCAGTATTCAGATTAGCTCTTGTACTCACATTTCCTTCACTGTACTTTCCGATGTCCGAGAGTCTTGACTCTTCTTTTTCTTTTCACTCTTGATAAGCGACGGCGGACAGAATTTAAATACCGGCACCTGAGCATCTGATCTGGGCAGCCTACGCTAGCTATAGACCGCGCTACTGCCATTGTAGGCTGTAGGTATAACACGTGATGTTTGCAATCATCGATCGTTACAGAACGTTGATGAAATACAACGCGTATATAAATACAAATTACATTCAAAACAAAGTGATAAGTAACAACATAGGGTAAACAATAGATTTAACTCATTACAATTAGGGAAAATTGTGTAATGTCGTTAACTATTCTAAATAATCACATGGCCGCGTTGAACTCACTGTTCTGCTTCACATTGTTGGTGTTTAAGCATTCGCTTGGTATAGTGTACTAAATCTTACTTTTATTTCTACTACTTCTCCTCATGTTTAATTAATTAGTGGTCTAAGACACAAATGTTGTAGACGTAACAGTTAAATTAGTCAACTTCCTAGTTATCGTAATTATCTTAAATTTATTATAATGTAGAAGTCATCAGCAGTATTTGAAACTCTTATACAGCCGAATTATAAAATACTAAATTCAAATGAAATATTTTCACTTGCAGAACAAGTGTTCAGGGTTTTAAAACATTTCACTTGTCTATTCACATAAAACATGTAATTTTTCACACCACATTAACCTAGTCCTAAAAATTTTCAACGTTTCTGTCAGTGTGAATCTGTACACAGATTAAATCTTACTTCAACCCCACAAAAAATGTAAGTAAAAACAGAATAAGTTGCTGTGCAACTTAATAAATAATAATAAATGCACCTGTTGACATGGTTTAAATAATGCCACCCCTTGTGTATTTTCTCTCTATCTGATGGCTTGCATTCAATGAATGTTGTTTTGCAGCGCTCGCTCTCTGCGACTGGTCGTCACTCCAGAAGACTCGTCGCAGCATTGCTCGCATGTATTGCTCCCCTCGCTTCACCTCGGCCAACTACGATCAGCTGTCTCGGGTGGGCTCCGCCGAGACCTCGCATCTGATGGAAGCCATCGCAGGTCACCTGGGGTCCGGCCAGGGGGAGGTTCGTGTAAAGCCTCTCATCCTCGCCGCCTCCGCTAACATGTTCACCCAGTATATGTGCTCCACGAGGTTCAGCTATGACGACCCAGGCTTCTCTACGGTCGTCCGCAACTTTGACGAGATCTTCTGGGAGATCAATCAAGGGTAGGTAATCATTACAACGACCAATATTGTGTACGGTGTATGTGAAATTTGTATGTCTCATGAGATCTTTTGGTTGAAATTTGTTGTTTATTTTTTGTTGGCTTTGACGAATTATTTCACTAGTGACATCTTAGTTTGGATTTATATATTACTGTAATTTTTTTATTTAGTAAACTATTTACAATATTGTACATATACAGGGTGATTTGTACTCAGTGTGACAAAAATTTTTTGATGTAAGTACAAAGTAAATGAAGTGTGATGATGCATATCAAATGTTCCAAGTCTCAAAATTGGCGTCCCAAAAAATTATTTGAGGTTTTTCAAAAATAACCATGCTTTTAAACTTAATACAGTGATTTCTCAACTACCTGTATATGGATTTGAGTAGATAATGCCATTTTCGTGTTCTACATTAAATTTTGAACAAGAATAATGGAAAATGATGGAGGATCAGTTGTAAAAACTCCATTCTAAATAGATTCAAAGATAAAAATTAAGATATTTCATAAACATTTTAAAAACAATGGTCTATTGCATTTTTCACACCCTGTATACAAGAAAGTGTCGGAATATGTTAAAAACTGCGCCATTTTATAAGCTTTCCAACCATATGCTACGGTACACTATTGAGGTTTAGATATTCTTTTGTTTGTTTTAGTGGTTTGAATACCAGAAAACAGGGAACTTTTTTACCGTTTTTACTGTTCAAGCTGAAACAAAAGTACAAATTTTGCTTAATACATGCCGACTTTCTGTGTTTTAAATGTTAAAGACACCGTGTTTTGTAGTCTTCAAACCATTAAAGCGTACATAAGCAGACATAAACCTCACTAGTGTAGCATATCGTTGGAAAGCTTATAAAATGGCGCAGTTTTTAACATATTCCGACACTTTCTTGTATACAGGGTGTGAAAAATGCAATAGACCATTGTTTTTAAAATTTTTATCAAACATCTTAATTTTTATCTTTGAATCTACTTACAATGGAGTTTTTACAACTGATCCTCCGTCATTTTCTATTATTCTTGTTCAAAATTTAACGTAGAACACGAAAATTACATTATCTACTCAAATACATATACAGATAATTGAGAAATCGCTGTATTAGGTTTAAAAACATGGTTATTTTTGAAAAACATAAAACAATTTTTTGGGAAGCTAATTTTTAGACTTGGAACATTTGATATGCATCATCACACTTCATTTACTTTGTACTTACACCAAAAAAATTTTGTCACACTGAGTACAAATCACCCTGTATAAATATATACTAGTGGAACCCCGTCGAAATCGACGGTTAATCTTGAGGTTTTATGTAAATTCAGCTAACTGCGTTGGATAGAGTGAAGTCATTAAATCTTAGTTATATGAAGGGAGGATAAGCAATAATAAGTAGGATTGTGTTCCCTAAAAAACGTGATTGATGAATTCGTTTAACACAATATTTCCTACCTTTCTTTTTATCGGCTTTAGGTTGCCCAAAAGGTTTTTTAGGAGTCTTATAATTATTGTTTGTTCATGAGTTTGTTTCATACCAAAGCCACTTTCACTATATGGGAGAATGAGTTCATATAATTAGTCTATCATGTTACGGAAAGAGTCAATATTTATTACTAACCACTAATTCCATCTGCTTTAGGAAAATCATTCAGATTGTTTCCGGATTTATCTTAAAAGATGTAAATCTTCATCTTTTTTTGTAAAAATATCTGATTCTCCAGAAAGCAGTAACATTCTTAATCGATCTCAGCAATTTTAAATCCTTCTCTTGCCATTGACCCATGTATGTAATCATCCTGTTCTTATTTGATAATTCATTAACTTATGGGGTAGTTTTGCCTTGGCCATATAGATCACATAAAGCTGTGCATGTATTTCGTGGATTGGAATGAACCATAATTGTAGGAAATTTTATCACAAATCTTGAACATTTGCGGAACCAAATCCATAACCTAGTCCAGCATTGGTAACAAATTATGTGAAAATAATTGATTAAAATCATTATACTTGTTCCGAAGGTCATAAGTTTAGTTGTATAATCTATTGTTTATTTGTCCAGATACGCTGTGGACTTCCTGCCTTGGCTCCTCCCATTCTATACTCGTCACATGAACAAGTTGTCCGACTGGGCGAAGGAGATTCGTCAGTTCATCTTCTCCAGGATTGTGGAGGAACATCAGAAGACCCTCAACCTAGACCTTCCTCCACGGGACTTTACAGATGCGCTGCTCATGCATCTAGAACAAGACCCGGACCTCAACTGGGACCACATCATCTTTGAGCTTGAGGACTTCCTTGGCGGCCACTCTGCTATCGGCAACCTGGCAATGTTGGTGTTGGCCGCGGTGCTGAGACACCCTGAGGTGGGCTCCAGGATACAGGCGGAGATTGACACAGTGTCTGGAGGGTTGAGGGACGTGACACTGTTCGACCGTGCAGACATGCCGTACACGGAGGCGACCGTGCTGGAGGTGCTGAGGACCGCTAGCTCGCCCATCGTGCCACATGTTGCCACCGAGGACACCTCTATCGGAGGTATGTCTCATCTCAGTCTCAATCTAGATGACTCTTTCAGAAATAATTGTTTTTAACTGATTCAAGAACTTTTGCAATGACAATGAACTTTTTTAATTAATAGGCCTATTCAGAGAATTAGCTTTGTTCAGGAGGGTTTTGTGCTGCACAGTGTACATAAATTTGGTTAGTAGCACATAGTATAAATTGATCTTCAGACCTTAGTCACTAATAAGACAAAAAGATCGCACCACTCATGCTACACTCATCCTTCACTCGTATTTGGGTTAAAATTACGCACATAGTGGCGTCCCCATCTTAATAATTGCGAATGATTGATAGTCAATTGACATGCTAAAAAATGTATTATTGAAGTAACTCTTTTAAAATGGATTTTCTTGAACATTACTCTTTACTAACAATCAATTATAAATCAATCGTAATCAAACCATTAGGATTAACCTGCATAAAAACATTTTTTTAGGAGAAAGTTTTCTTTTACAATGCACTTTAAATCAGATGTTACCTTATGTTAAGTTTACATTTCTTTCTAGGATACCCTGTAAACAAAGGAACTGTGGTCTTCCTCAACAACTACGAGCTGAACCTGGGAGACACTTACTGGAGCGAACCGGACAAGTTTCGCCCAGAAAGATTTATTTCAAGTGAGGGAAACATCGTAAAGCCACAACACTTCATCCCCTTCAGTACAGGCAAGAGAACTTGCATCGGTCAGCGACTAGTGCAGAGCTTCTGCTTCACCTTGGTAACGTCTATTCTAGGGAAGTACGACATCAGTGCAGACCTGGACACAGTCAGGACAGTGCCAGCTTGCGTAGCATTGCCTCCAGACACCTTCAGTGTTAGGTTCACACCCAGGAGGAGTGTGAGGGCGTAGACTCCCCTCCCCGTTCCATGCCTAGAGCGACACCATGCTGTCAAACAATCAATGACAACAGGGAAATGAGTTTTTAGATCTACCAAAGCAAACAAAAGATATATTTGATCTATTCCGATTTTGATGGATAATAAAATAATTTTAGGATTTGTTTACGTTGGCAAAAATGTTCTGAATTATGGTTGATGTTTGTAAAAATGTATATCGTTACTAACTAAAGCTATAAATTTCCAAAAAGATGTGTTCTATCAACAGTTAATTGTAAAAAATATGTAATTCATAATATTGTAATCGGCATGGTGTCGGGCTATGTACTTGGGATACATTGTAAATTAGTCAACATCTTTCCTGTTTCCACTTATTTCCAGATCTTTTACTATGAGTTTTCTGAAACTGTTGTTCTGTGATTGTCAGTTAGGTGTAGTTTACTCAATATTTATTTAAATTATGAGACTATGTGAATGTGATTATGTTAAGTATTTAAGTTTATTTATTTGCTGAGTCTACTACCATTACAGTATTTCTTTTAACCTTTATTACTTTTATTCTTAGTTGTGTAAATTGTGTATATATTATTTTTTCATATAGTAGGTTTTGCATTTCTGAACGGGCCAAAACTGTTTTCTGTTATTACATTATATACAAACTTATGTTACACCTTTACTTTTATTCTCAATATTTCTTTTAATAGCTAAAAACTAAAGTATCTCTGATAACTTAGCGTTCTACAATCATTTTATGGGCCATGGCTTGTTAATAAGCTCAGCCAATCATTTATAACCATATAACTCAATATACAGTAGGGTTCAATGAAGCATTACCTAGTTAGTCTTAATTGTTTAGTTATAACCACCGAGATTGAAGTCTGTATAAACATTGTAAAATACTTATAAGAGCTTTTAATATATTTATAGTTTTGTAATACAAAGACTACCTCATTATTGTCTACCTATTCTAATATTTTACTTGTCTTCATTAACTTTGCAGTGCAGAAATATCTCCTGCAAATGAAAGTAAATTAGATTTTATCTTTACTGCCTAATTGATAAAGATCTAGCAACTATCATTAAATTAAGGCTACACATCCTATAATATTTGAATGAATGCTTTTAGTACAGTATATCAGATATTCCCGTGTAATGACATCTAACATTGTGCTTTTGTGGCACTTTAAAATTAGTTACGGAAAATTTTATTTCTATGAAGGATGTGTACAAGCATTAACTTTAGCAAAATTGTATTATTTCAATTACATATTTGAAATAAGCTTGTAAACCTAGATTAATTCAAATATCTTTGCAACTTAAGTTCGAAGAAGGAAAAAATGAATTTCTAAAGAGGGTTTGTTCAAAAGATCTAATTACCATATTAACTTTTGCTAACAATTTTAATTTTCAAAATATTTTACTATTCAATTTAGAACTCTATAAGTATACAATGCTTATTGCAGTTATACTCATGCTTTGCGTTTGCAATGGGAGAGGACACGTTTTAAGAAAATTTTAAATTGGTTTACTAAAATTTCAGGTATATAGTATATCACATCTACCATAGCCATAATGTTCTACCACTGCACGTAAACAACAGAAAAAAGTAAAGTTCTCACAACTTTTTGTTGCTGATTCGTTCAAATTATAGCTGTTGTCATAAATACAAAAGAATTAATAGTGCTGAATCCTGTTGGTAAACCTTATATAACCTTTAAATGCTATTGAATATCATATAGAACCAACTTGTGTAGTAGAAACAATGCTGGCAAAATTCTTTAATTCCTTTTTCAATATGCATACTCATAAGGTTAACATTTAGCCCAGTCAATGAACGCACGAAAACGCCCGATGTCGCAACTTTTGGACGACAAGCTGAATTTTTCACAGGCGGTGTTAGTACACATTCAGAAATTCAAGTGCTTTTTTTTCTACAGCCCTTTAAAGTCAAAAATGCAAGCTTTTACCGCAGCACCTATATCTCCGTTATTTTTTATCGGATTGTTTCAAACTTTATACCATTTAGAAGGTAGGTAAGTGACCTAAAAAAAGTGTTCAGTTCGAATTTTTGATTATCCTAATAGTTTTCTTGTAATTGTAATGTAAAATATGATTTGTTGAAATTTGAATGTTTTATTTTTCGTTTTTACGTTGTAACATCTGAAATAGCCAAATAATCAAAAAACGTTTCCTTGAAAAGTTGTAGGTCATGTTTTTTTCGCACACATTGATATGTATAAGTACATGGATTAGTCATAAATGAAGCCGCGGGTGTAACTTTGAAACAGCTATGTTGGACGCGCGGCGCTCGGATAAAGGTGTCACCCGGTGGAAATCCAAAGTGTTAAGTTAAATTCACTTAGTCTGGAGAGTTTCTGCAGGTTTTCTCCAGCGGATTATTTGTATATCTGTAGGTTCCATCATCATACTAACATTATAAATGTGAATGTTTGAATGTGTTGATGTTGTGTTTGTTTGTTTGATTGTTTTAAGTCCAATTACGCATTAACTACTGGTCGGTTTGGGTTGAAATTTGGTATGATGATAGCTCACATTCCCGATTAACATAGACAGGGCCGGATTTCCTAATAGGCCCGGTAGGCCCGGGCCTATGGGCGCATGGTCCCAGAGGGCGCACGGCCGAGAGTATTTTTTTTTATACCTAGGCTCTCTAAAATAAAAAGTCATAGTTGATAAAAAAAACTCAAAAGCATTGTGATTCTGAATTTCATAAGAAGAAATAATTGTTAGGAAATGTAATCTATTTTCAGAATCACGCATCAATTTCATTACAAAATTGGTAAAGATCAAAGAACATTGGTTATACGGGAGTAGGCTCTAACGTTGACGATGACGAGCGCCCAAGGGGTATGCATGCTGGCTCGGGCTCGGTACTACACTACTACTGGTCAGATTGATTAGGAGCGCATGCGTGCTAGACATCACTCTCACCTCAAAAGTTAAGTCTTTTGATTAGTTTACAACAATCTGCAGGATCAAGTTAACATATATATAATAAGTTGTGTTGAATATCAAAACAACGATGTACTTACCTTTCAAATTAACAAACAAATATTAATCTCAGTTTGCATTAGATTTTAGAAAAATTCAATACCCTCCAAAACATCAGTAATGCTGTCATTTTCTCCTCAGACCTAAGTAAGGTTGGTACGGTTAGCCGGAATATTGCTCTGTTTTGCTTTGGAAACCACTCTGCATATTTAATCTAGATGCAGTACGACCATAGATTAAATATTACTCAAGTCGACTTCTTATGACATTGTTAATTCAAAATTTGTTCATATCTACTGTAGTTCATGTTGTTGACACTGGACGTTAGTTTTTTATTTTGGATAAACTAGGTTTAAACATAGATAAAACATACTCCTTAAACAAAATAACAAGAATTGTTTTCAGCCAATCCAAATCTACTAAAGGAGCAGGTTTAATCTATAGTATGACGCACTGTATGGAGTTCATGTTTTTTGGGCCTGGAATTGGAATCAATGGCCATGTTTTTTTTTTCAGGAATGCTCGGGTGGTTGAGTTTTTTGTTTCAGTCCCACCACGGCCACAAACGTGAGCATTTATTAAAAGCATAAAATTGCTAAATAACGTGTTTAAGACGGCATTTTGTTAAGGCTAAACAAGTCAATTCTTAAAAAAACCTTGCTCTGATTCCAAAGAGGAGTGTTATTCAAGCAGTTAACTTAGGCCTATGGGAATTATATAGTTTTTAATAAAGGTTTGAAGAAATGTAACCAGACTAGGGGGCGGAAAATTATTTGGGCCTAGGGGCGCAAAAATGCTAAATCCGGCCCTGAACATAGACATGTTCTTATCTCAAAAATAGTTTCGGGCTCTGCCCCAGTACTTCCTCCAAAAAGTCCCCTAAAATCCGGCCGGTGCTTTTTTTTCTACGGCCCTTTAAAGTAAAAAATGCAAGCTTTTTCCGCAGCGTCTATATCTCCGTTATTTTTTATCGGATTGTTTCAAACTTTATACAATTTAGAAGGTAGATAAGTGATCTAAAAAAAGTGTTCAGTTCGTATTTTTGGACGACTTAATTGGAAACTCTATAGCTACTGGGGCAGAGACCGAAACTATTTTTGAGATAAGAACATGTCTATGTTAATCGGGAATGTGAGCTATCATCATACCAAATTTCAACCCAAACCGACCAGTAGTTAATGCGTAATTGGACTTAAAACAAACAAACAAACAAACACTCAAACATTCACATTTATAATATTAGTATGATGATGGAACCTACAGATATACAAATAATCCGCTGGAGAAAACCTGCAGAAACTCTTCAGACTAAGTGAATTTAACTTTACACTTTGGATTTCCACCGGTTGACACCTTTATCTGTATAACTAAAGCTTATATTTATATACCAATCGTTAGTTCTCGATAGTTCTCCAATGTTTTATTGTGGGTTTTCAAAAAATAAAAATTTACAAGGCATAAATAATTCCCCGGCAGCAAACCTGCGGACTGAGCTAATTTTAATTTAACTGGGTGGATTCCAAAAATTAACTTCAACATTTGATTTATCCTCCATAAGAATAACATGGGAATTTACAATTTTTAAATTGTTTGAATGAACTCTGTAGCCCTTTGGCACACTCCAACGCTTCAATAAATACAAAATTATTTCTTTTTTTATGCTCTACAAAATGGTTTAAAAATAATTTGTATAAATTATTTTTATTACAGTTTTTATTTATTACAGTAAATAATGTTTTTTAGGGTCAAAAATAGGAAAAACCAATTTCTTCCCATAAATCCTCTGTTCCCATCATAGTCCGATCATGCTGTTTTGTGAACTTGTTCGAATAAACTTAGGTTTAAACGTTTATTCTAAGTTTAATCATAAATTTTAAGACAACCATGACTTTATAAACTTGAGGAAGCTTATTGTACGAATGATGTATTTTAATGGCAATTCTTGATTCTTGAATCAAAATCGGTCACTTTTTGCTAGAGTTATCAGGCTAACAGACATATGTGTAATTATATGAATTTGAGCTTTGGAGACCTCAAAACGAAAATTTAAATCGGTTTTGGGAATAGGTCTTATCATGAGACCACCGTGATAGCTTATTTCCTATGGGAAATTCGCTAAAAGTGGTTACACCAACTTTCACACCTAAGGCATTTCCAGCATGCATCACCATCTGATGAAAAATGCATAAGCATATATCACTATATACCAATATTTAGCTTTTAAAATCCTCAATAATCTAGTTCTTTTGTTTGTTCTCCAAATACTATATAAGAAAGTCATAAGGCATGCTGGAAATGCTTTATATATGAAGTTGGCGTATATATGCCTACTTGTTATGCCTTAATTGTAACTTAACTAATATTTTAGAGCAAACTCAATGTTGAATAACTGTGGATAAATAACAAAAAGCTATATAAAAAAAAAAAAAAAAAAAAAAAAAAAAACTAAAAAAATGTGATGAGCCGATAAGTTAGCCTATATAGATAAAAGCATTTTTTTTATCAAATGAAGGTGCATGGTGGAAACCAAAAAGATGAGTTAACATATCCATTTATTATCCACTATAACTTTTTTTAGAAACTACAAAAAAATTGCTAAAGTTTTCATCAGATGGGGTGTACGCTCGCTGGAATTGTCTTTGGTGTGAAGTTTGCGTAACCGATTTTTATGACTTATAACTTTTTAATTTGTTAAGAACTAATAATGATATTGGAGAACTATCGATAACTAAACTACTGAAGAACTGACGATTGGTATATAGATATAAGCATTTTTCATGACATGAAGGTGCACACTAGAAACCGGATATGTGAAGTAAGTATACCTATTTAATAGCGGCTATAATTTTTCAGTTTTTGAGAACAAATAAAAGTATTGGAGAACTATCGAG